GGCCGGTGAGAGCATCTGTCCTCAGTTGTTGTTGTTGTTAGCTGTTAGCTCAGCGTGAGTTTGGAGTACTCAGATTTCTCCGGGTACCTATCTCTTTAAGCTGAGATTTGCATTGCGTTGGGTTTAACGTTCATAGTAGTTTGAAATGTAATTACTGATTGCACTCTGTGATGCTGTGAACACCTGTAGAAGTATTTCTGTGGGCTTCTAGTGACGGGATTTTAATTGAACTCTGCTGTAATCTTTTAAGCAGTTCTCCCAAAAGCGCAACTCCAACGTGTCTCATAGATCTTCAAAGTCTAGCCTCTGGTTTTTGGAAGAAGAATATCCGCTGCATCTTCTGTCAGAGAGGTTATGAGATGTTTGGGAATCCTATTCGTTCACCTCCGCCACTGTAGAAAAGTTTGTCTTATGCACTTGTCAGAAGGTTTTCCCATCATATGTGGATAAGAATAGTTTCAGCTTCCTGCCGTCGCTATGAATTTCTTTAAGGTATCACTTTATTTGGCGACCTCAGAGAAACCTGTCAGCAATTAATAGTTGGATTTTGGCAGAAAAACTTTCTTCGATTTGTTTTTCCACGGTAGACACTTTTTCTTGAATTTCTCAGACTTTGTCTTCAGCCATGTTTATTGCCTTCCATAGTTTGTGTTCTATTATGAAGGTAATTTCTCTTTTCATTTCCACTTGACTTGCTTCAAATGTTCTTAAACTGCTTTCATCTCTTCTTTAATGGATTCTTAAATAGCCTTCGTCTCTTCCTCAACGGATTTTTAGCCACCTTTCATCTCTCCTTTGACGGAATTTTTAACGGCTTTCATCTCTGCTTTAACGGTTCTTGGCCAACTTTAAACTCTCTTGGGCACCCTGCATCTCTTGTTTCAAGGAGCTGACGGTGCCTTCTATCCTTTCTTGGAGTGCATCAAAAGCAGTGACCAACTGTCTCAGTTGATCATCAGTTGCTCTTGTCACAGGCATTTAATCCCCCTCCTGATACCAAAATGCGTTGAACTATCCAAAATATTCACTTCTAAATGGAAAAATGTAGATCATTTTTAGCTTTCATGCTTTTCAAAAATTTTTAATGCGGAAATGATTGTTCTAACACATAACGGTTTGGCTTTATAGAAGTGTGGTGAATTCCGGTAAAAGAGATGAAATATTTAGTTTAATGTACGATTTTAATTACGTCTCAACATACTTTTGTAACTACGAGAGCTGGAGCCGCCCAGACGGTATAATGAATAGGGGAGCCTACTGAGAACCGATGGGCCCGAGTTTGAATTCCGGAGAAGGCATGTAAGTAGTAAATGTATAGTGTCTTTGCGGCATTCTAAATATATGAAGAGGCGAAAGACCTCTCCTGTGGATTGGTGGTAAGCAAGATGGGTGGAAGACCCTGGGACACTTCCTGGGGTGCTCTCCCGATGCTCTGACAAACATTTTCCCATGAAATTCATAAACAAGACAACAACAACGAGATCTGAATAAATAGTATTTTTATTTAGCCAAGAACATAATCAGAATTCATTGTAATAATCTTGCTATTGAGAAGCTAACCTTTAATCCCAAACCCATGTTCAAAAATCTGTAATGTATCAAGTATTTAAGCTTTCTTTAGTGTGTTAAATTACAAATGAAAATATTAGGCTACATTATAAAAAAAAATCACAGGATTAATAGTGGGCAGTGTATGCTGTAAAACTTATTAAAACATGCAGATAACATAGAAAGTATATAAAAAAATTTCAAACAGTTTTAATGCTGACAATATATTTCTTTTGTACTGGGTTCATTAGATTAAAAATTCTGTTCTATCATTTTCCATTTTTTTAATACTCAAATGTAAAGTTTCCAATGGTTCTCCTTGATAATTTGGCAGTTTTGAGCAAAAGGTCCAGATGAGATGTAGACAGTTAATTTTTAAAGACATTCTGCATCTTTGCTTGTGGTAACTGTCAAAAAAGTTCTGAATGAATTGTCCATGATTTTCTGAAAACAACTGTTTCATTACCATTTTTTTTTTTTTTTTTTCACGAATAAATTGTACTGCAATAATACTTTCTGTTTTAAACTTTCAGATTTTACAGATAATTTATTTTCTGTGAGGTTTGAATTACGTATCGCGAACTTATTTGGTAATAATGACGCATATTCTACTCTTTTCGCACAGTTTTAAGTCATTGCGTATTAAACATAAATCTTTGCCGCTTAATTCTATGACGAAATAATTGGCATCCCATTCTGCTTTCAAAAGCTCGACATTCTAGGTATATTTTTCTCTTTTAACTTGTTTTTGAGACTGACATGATACGGGCAGGTAATAGATAAAAGAAAAGAAAAAGAACAAAATATCACACATTATTATTACAGACGATACCCCGCGCACCGGTATAACAAAACTGTCAACACGCTCATGCGATGCACAGCGCGCAAACATTTAGGTCCGATGTCAAAATCAACGAAAAATGAAAGGATACAGAAGTAGTGCCACTCGCGGTTATTATTCACAGCTTTTCAACTCAACTATCGTCCGTTGCATGATAGCGCGTAATTTCATAATTTGATTTTAAAATACAAAAAGCAGTATCCCCCTGCAAGGCCAGATTAAAAACAATTTTGGGGCCGGATTCGGCTTACGGGCCGTAGTTTGCGTAGTTTTAGTTAAAAAACAAATTTTTTAGCTAGTGTATGTCTTGTACTAAAAAACATCTCGAAATTTTAATGTAAGTTCGAACATTCTATCTAAATTTAGTCATCCTCCATTTCGTAACACCATGATATCTAGATTGTAACTCTCCATTATATTTTCTTATTCTCCGTCGTATTTAACATTGTTATTATGATTATTACAACTTACCTTATTTACTTTACCTTATTATTTTACCTTATTTATTATTTATAGTAATTTTTTTTCTTGTTGAATGGTGAAAATTGATTCTCTAGTATGCGTACTATCCGTGTATATGACACAAATGAATAAGTATAATTTTAAAAGAAATTTCTGGACAATTCAAAATTAGAAACTAATTCTTACTTCGACAAATAACAAAATAATCTCTAAACCAAGCGTAAACACGAATCTGCAAGAATTCATATTTCTGCAATGCTAGGGTATATGCAGTGTTACTAGAGACCAGAAATAAAAACATTTTATTGAAAAATAAATAAAGTTGAAAAGAAATAAAAACTAGAGTACTATCTGCATAGAACGTAGTTGTAAAAAATTTAAAAATATTTTGCCTTGAATTGACTTTTTGCAAGACATCACTAATTAAAGATTCACTGCTATTTAATAGGTAACCCATTTTATATTTTATAAAATATCTATGATCTCGATAATCTGTTTTAAGTACTAATTTCATAGCTCACAATGTACTATTTCGAAAACGATTAAACATAAGAAATCAATTGGTCTTGAGAAAATATTTAAGCCTGAAAACAACAAGATGTGTTATTTTTCATTGCGCATAATGCTTCATCTCATACAGTATTATTAAGTATTCATAATATATAAAATAAAATCGAAACAAACATTTTTAAATGGTCGATATAAGGAGTTCTGAAACTGGAAGCTGTTTCTGTTAACAATGTATAAATTGCTTACATTATTTCATTTTTTTAAAAGTTTTTTTAAAACTCTTTCACACATGTTCGTATGTCAGTAGTTGGTCTTATGAAAGTATGTATAACTAACAAGTTATTAAAGCAGACCTACGTTAGCCTGCCACATCTGAGTCTATATAATGTTCCAAAATATGTACCATATAGAATATTTTATATTTTTTTAAAAGGAATAATAAATCTCCAATGTGCAGTTCTTTGCTATGTTTAAAACTATCTTCATGTTGTTTGTAAATTCTCTTCGCATCACCCAAAATTTATCTTAGTTTTGGAATCTTTAAATACTTGTTAAAATCACTTCGTGCGAATCAGGCTGAACTAGAATTTAAATCATTTCCCAGTGGAAAATCAGTATTTTATCTCTAGTACTCACAAACATTTCAACTTCGAGCAAAAAGTTGAATATACATGAGAGAGTTTTAAACTCTTACTGGCTCTGGCAAAATTTATCTTTCAATCACGTACCCTAAAATAGCTCTTACATCTCAAATTCAGTTCTCTACGCCACGTAAAAAGACCACAGGCAAAGCTGAAATATTGACTAAACAAAATTCTGCTCCACAATTTTATGAGCTGTAGTTAAAGACTTCAAAAATCAATAACTTGTTGGCCCAAATAAATCTTGTTTTTACCTAGAAAAGGGACATGATGTCTTTTATTAAGAGAAGAGGTTTGTTATTAAGGCTATTTGTTATAAAGTGGATTGAAAATTCTTAAGTGTATTAGGCTTTTGGTTTGTAGAAAACATGAAAAATCAATAGTGTCTCGTCAAGATTCAGGCTACAGTTCATCCAACCATTAGCTATATATGCTAATCACCTACGCATGAAGAGCAGGCACAAGGAAATGTGGTAATTCCTTCTAATACCTTCTATTTAAAACGCAACTAGGGAAAGACAAAACAACAAGTACACTAAACACAGGTGGTGATTAGTCTAATCAATCTTAGCTCGGGCACCAGTGTACAGATTATTAGGCTTTTCTGCGCAGAAATCATCAGAAATAAGCTGTTTGCTCGCTTGAATTCGAACTATGGATTTGGTAGATGCAAATTTGTTGGGTAGAGATCAAACCACTTAAATTATGAAAACATGCATGAAGAGATGAGATAATTTCTCACAATTTAAACTTCGTGTTTCTAATATTTTCTTAACGCTGATTATTTTTTGTAAGAGATCTGGAAATGAGCATAATATGTAAAATGTGTGATAAAAGTTGTACATTGAATAAAAAATAACAAGGGAATTAATAATCCTATCCAATTTCTTTATTTCCGATGCTTCTATCTGAACACTTTCATCATCATTTCCATGCTTTGATTTTTTTATCTTTTCCTTTCCCTTTAATCCCCACTCCTTGGTAATGGATAAATGAAGACTTCAATGGACCAGGTATGTATTTCGTGGTGTTGTCGTGATTTGAGTGTGGCTATCGTTAGTAGTGAGTGCGCATTGCTTTCATTTCGCTTTCGTGAATGGCATTCATATGTTTTATGCATGTAGTATGATATGTTATATTGACGGAATCTTACTATCGATATTTCTACAAAGTACTACTTAAAAAGTACAGCTATGGAATATATCAATAAACATTTCTGCAAATAGAATCTTGATTAAAAGTGAAGTTTCAAACAATGACTGTTTTCATAGAGTTGTTTTAATCTTGTAATTTATGATTTCATTTTTTGAAAGGTAAAAGTTTATATTATTATTTTCAGCAGTACTAATTTTCATATATGATTACTCATGTATACTTAATTTCTGGTGCGCAGAACAGTTAAATTTTAAATTAAATTTCAAAAATCTTAATTTTGAATTTTATTTTGTGCTTAATTAGATGCACTGCTGTCAAATTAGCGCTGATGTTGGTGTTCTATTAGTGTTGACGTGCTTATCTGTATTTAAATATTTTAGAATACATTAGTATATTTGATTAGTTCACTATATTACATTCACATTTTAGAAATTTCAGTTGTTTTTAGTATTCATTTCTGTTGTATAGTGGTTTCACAAATCGTAATTGATTATATGCTCAACACGGAGACACGTAATATTTAATTCTTTCTAATGTTAATTATACTGACAACATTGATTATTTATTTATATTGTATTTGTACACCGTCCTAAGTTTAATGGAAATAAATATGCTTTTAAACCATTAGAGTAGGTCTTGATAAAATATTAATCAGAAGTAATATGTAAAGTAAAAAAATAATAATGAGTAAATATAATATACAGCTTAAGACATATTTTATCGATTACATGCCTTTATTTTATGTTATGCGAATAAATATCAGTCTTAAACAGGAAAATGTGCTGTATAATTTATATAACTTGTTTCTCAATTCTTCACATTGTAGGGTTTATATTTATTTTAACTAACATTTATTTTAAGTTTAAACTACCTTTCCTGTCAAGCCTTACTTTCCCCTGGAACTGCCAATGCCAGAGTATGTAAATTTTAGTAGAACGCGCAAGGATTCAAATCATCAGCGGAAGTATTCTGAGTTAAATAGAAAGGAAACGAGTTCGAGGTGTGCTGTTCTTACTTCACGAGCGCGGAGGTAGTTAGCCAGAAATTGAAGAACCCCGCGTTTCGGCCTGTGTGCTTGCCTGGAAGTATTGTTAATCGTTCAACGTGATCTTCAAGTTTGCTGAATTAGCAGCGGTATTGTAAAACGCGGTGAGGTTAGTTACTTTTAGAGAGCCTCGTAGTTAGAGTCTTGTCTTTAGTTTCTTTTCAGGTTATTATTTTTATTTTACCGCCGAGTTGGCGTAGTTTGTGAGCGTCAAGAGCACGCACTTGTAATTTATTACGTTGAATAAAAAGGGACTTAAACCCTTAACAAGACTCTGTCTTTTATCCAGTTTTCACAGTCACCTCTTGGTTGCGTGCAAGTTGGAGGCGCGCAACGCTACATTGGCGCCCGAACACTTATCGAACTGAAATGGCCGAAAATTGGATGGAAGCCGCTGGACAACACCAAGAAATGACAAGCCAATTGAAAGGATTTGGATACCTGGTCCAGACTTTGAGAGCGTCAATCAAGCCAAACGTCCATTTCGACGGAAAAAATTCGGTGGCGGTATTTCTAGAAGGTCTAGAAAACCACTTTCAGCTCTACCCTGTTCCTGAAAGACAAAAAGTTGCCATCGCCACATCCGCACTAAGAGGACAGGCCGCGCTATGGTGGAAAAATATAGGCAAATTTTTATTAGGGGAATTTGGAAGCCAGACATATACATTTGAAAATTTCAAAAAATCGTTAGTAAAGGCCTTCCCAATAGTGAAAGATCGAGCAAGGCTGGAAGCCGAACTATATAGTTTCTATCAACGGGATATAGAAGAGTTGACGGACTTTATTCTACGAAAAATTAAGCTGACGGATATGCTGTATGGGAAAAAACCCGATGCGGAGATTATTGAAATAATCTTACCAAGATTGATACCCGCTGTTCAAGACTACTTCGAAATTAGAAACCCAAGCACATTGCAGGAGCTCTTCGAATTGGCGGTGAAGTTTCAAAATCGCAGAATAGCGGAAAAAGCGAGAGGGGCAACGTATTCTCAAAGTACCCGAAGGAAATCTTAAAATGAAGAAACCAGAAATGGAAATCGCTCTTATGGGGGAAAGAGCTATCAAGCTAACTCATCGAAACTCGAAGGTCAAGGCCCAAAAAGAAAATTCGAAAATAAACATCCGCGTACCCAGAAGGCACAGATTGAAAGGAAAGCTTTAAACGAGTAGAGGGGCCTGTGAAAGGGAGGGTCCAGACCCCGGAAGTTTTAAAAAAACCCTCAAAAAGACATTTAAATACGGTCATCGTAAAAAACTCACATCTACCAATTATACAAGTCCTGGTTGGCGATGTACCAGTAGAAGCCCTCATCGATACAGGAGTAGAAGGGAATTTTATGAGCGAAAATTTCTTCAAAAAGAATTTTTATAGGGTACGATTATTTAAAACCAAAAATACGGAAATTATAGCGGCGCAAGGAAAAACATGTCACTGCATCGGGAAATTATCATTAAACATATAGGTAAAAGAGGAAAGCCTCAAAGTATTCATTTTTGTAGTGAAGAATCTGCAAAATCCTCTTATTTTAGGTAAGGAGTTTTTAAGGGCCGCGAGGGCCAAATTGAATTTTCAAGACAGTTCCGTGGTGTTGGAGATGGACCAGAGGGTGGTGGAACCTGTGGAGAAACCGCAAGTGGACCTTAGCCATCTGAATGACCATGAAAGGCAAGCAATACAACAAGTGGTGGGTAATTTTTCTAACTTGTTTTCAGAAAAGCCGGGAAATTGTCAAATAGTTACGCATAAGATACAATTAAGTGCCGAAAAACCTTGTAGGACTAAACCTTATCGGTAGGACAAACAAAAAGACTTAATCATCGAAGAACATATTCAGGAGATGTTAAAGAATAAAATAATAACGCCCATAAATAGTGAGTACGCGAGTCCAGTCGTACTATGTAGGAAAAAGAACGAGTTTCCTCCTTCGGATAAAAGGGCTTGGAGGTTTGCTATCGATTACAGAAAACTTAATAGTATTACTAAATTTCCAGTTTACCCTTTGCCGGTTATAGAGGAAATTGTTAGACAGATCAAATCGACAAGATACATGTCTACTTTGGACTTAACGTCTGGCTACTATCAAATAGCTATGAGACCCGAAGACATACATAAAACCGCGTTTATAACAAAATCGGGCACTTATGCATTTTTACGCATGCCCTTTGGGTTGTGTGGGGCCCCATCAACATTCCAGAGAGCTATGGACATTGTTCTAAAGCCTGTCCTAAGAAAATCAACTTTATTTTATCTAGATGATATAATTATAACGAGTAGTACGTTGAAACAACACATTAATGATCTAGAACAAGTTTTTAAATTATTAAAAGAGGCCGGTCTTACAATTAACGCCTCAAAATGCAAGTTCGCAACTAAAGAACTTAAATATCTCTGTTATAAAATTTCGCAAAAGGATATAGAAACGCAAGATTCAAAAATAAAAGCCATCAAGAATTTCCCACCGCCCAACACCGCCAAGAAACTTTCTTCTTTCCTTGGGTTATGTTCTTACTATCGGTCTTTCATAAAAGATTTCGCTAATATTGTTGAACCACTCTTAGTAATCAAAAGAAAGAGAGGTAAATTTACGTGGACAGCGGAAGCAAATACAGCTTTTGAAAGATTAAAAGAAGCGCTCATCAATGCCCCTGTTTTAAAATTCCCGGAGGGGACGAAAACCTGGAAATTGCAGCAGATGCGTCAGACTATGCGGTGGGTGGGGTTCTTATGCAAAATAGCCATCCTCCGGCATTTTTTAGTAAAACGTTGAATCAGACACAAAGGAATTATACAGCTACAGAAAGAGAAACATTAGCCGTATTAATGGCTGTACACAAATTTCGAGTTTATTTCGGCAAAGCGCCAGTAACAGTCTTTTCGGATCATGCGGCTGTTGGTAGACTTTACTCGGGGAAAAACCTAACGCCCAGGTTAATAAGATGGGCTTTAAAACTCCAAGAATATAATATCAGAATAAAATATAAACCGGGTAAGGAAAACAATGTAGCTGACGCACTTTCTCGTATAAAACTGGACGATGAAGGAACTGAACTTAAATGCGCTGTGTTGACTTCAAAAATTTTAGATTCTAGAGATACAATTATCGCTGAACTGAAAGCTGATCCTGAATTTGGAAGTATCTATGCATATTTGAAAGACCCCGAAACCTTTGAGCACACAGATATCGATGCGATAAGAAGTAGAGCAGAAAACTATGAAATAATAGATAATTTATTATTTTATACGAAAACAACAAACGAAAATCTTGAGTACAAACCAGTCATCCAAGCCTCGCTTCGATTAAGCATTTTGAAGGAATTACACGACGCGAAAACAGCGGGTCATTTAGGGGTCAGAAAGACTTTAAAAAGGGTACGCGAGGCGGTATATTTCTCGCAATTATACAAAATATTAACGGCGTATGTCAGATCCTGCAATCAATGTCAGTTAATAAATGATATTAATTACAGCCCGGCCGGGTACTTAAATAGCATTCGCGCTACATTTCCGAATGAAATTTTAGGCATAGATCTTCTTGGTCCCTTTTCCCCAGAGCGAGTTAAATAAAAATCGTTTTCTTTTAGTAATAGTAGATCACTTCTCAAAATGGACAGAAATTGTTCCACTTAAACGCGCGTCAGCCAAAACAGTCGCAGATGCATTCTTACACAGATACATTTTAAAATACGGTGCACCGATAAAAGTCATTAGCGATAACGGAAAACAATTCATTAGTCAAATATTTGAAAACATATGCAATGGACTTGGCATACGCCATATCAAAATGGTTCCGTATAGACCACAGGCAAACATAG